TGGGACCAGTGGTGCGGATTAGCTGGAAGAGCTTCCGGTAATTGCCTACTGCTCCTGCCTTCTCCATTTCTTGAGCCCGACTGGTCCACCAGGCTTCCTTGTCAGCACGTAGGCTCCGCTTTGTTCACGTCTAATAGCCCGTCTGATCACATTGTGTCCAGAACCAGCCGGGAGGTGCCTTCTAGCATCCAAAAGGTTCACGGACCTCTCGGATATCCAGTGACTGGTGCGATGACGACTGATAGTGCCACAAGTAGATGCTCCTGCGTCGTGCATAGTGGCCGAGATCCTATTCCACTGAAGTTCAGTATCATTAGGACAAGACAGCGAGAGTTCGCTATGCAGTGCTTCTTGATAGGCTTGCCTGACCGTGTGCTGGGACAATTTCTCCGTTGCCAATCGGGGGAGACGCTTTGTGCGCATTCCGGTAAAGTTCATGGAGAAACGGCAGCGCACCAAGGCATGGTCAGAGTCGACACAGGTACTCCAGTACGAGCGGCAATCCAGAATGGAACCGCGCCACCTGTAACTTATGGCAATGTGATCAATTTGGGTCCATCGCTGACCAGCTACAGGTGGACGCCAAGTGGTACTTCGGCGCCCACTGTGTCTAAAGGCAGTGCTACTAAGAAACAACTGGTGTTCCGCGCACAGTTGCAGTAGACGCTCACCGTTGTCCGTCCGTTCGGCGTTAAGTCCATACTTACCACCCAGCTGAGCTTCTGAAGAGCTCAGACGCCCTACTTGTGCGTTCGTATCCCCTGCAAGTACAATAATATCTGAACTAGTAGCACTGCGTAGTAGCGCCTTCAGTTCGTGATAGAAAGTGTCCTTGACTGCATTAGAACTGCAGTCGGTGGGAGCATAAGCAGAAATCACAAACAAACAGCGATTTGTTTTACTTTGAGAATTCCCCTTAGCTGATGTCGTCAAACGGGCTGCACATAAACGGCTGTTCACCGGAATGCAATCAACCAACGATGACTCAGCCTTGGAGCTGAGAATGATACCTACACCAGCTTGACCCGTGAGTGCCGCATCGGCGTCTCCGGAGGCGTGCAACCAATAACGAGAGGAGAAGCCGGGTGCAGTCAATTCAATAACCCCGTTAGGGTCATTAATCCTAGTTTCGGACACACAACACACATCAACACCCAGTGTGTCCAAGGTGCGTGCGAGTGCAGCCTGCTGACCTGTTTGTCTTAGAGTGCGGACGTTGAATGTCGCCATGGAAACGGGATAGCGTGGCCTTATAAGGAACTTTTGCCGATAGGCGTCCGATAGGTGCAGTGGGATGGTGGCTGCAGATGGTTCTACTCCAGTAGCACTTCGGTTGCTGTCAATTAAGCTGGGAATTATAGAAGGAAGGTTAGTAATGGGGGCCGGGATGGGAGTAAGAGAAAAAAGTGGAAAAGAAAGAAGAGAGGCGCCAGCAGTGGCATGCTTTCGCTTATCCGCCCTGCTGTATGCAGCAGATAAGGCGACCCTTGATAATCTGCGCGACGGCCGATGCAGGATGAAGTTTGTGTTTGAAGAAAATGTCATGGTTGTATGTGGGCTGGGATACTGCCAGGGCGCCCAGACCTAGACAGGAGAACGATTAGGGTCCTCATCCAAAGCCTTTGGCTCAAAAGCCTGTTCGCAAGGCAGCGGGGTGGCAGTGATTTAGTTTTACAGAAATGGACGCCATCCCATTTCAAACCCCCAACCTGGAGGACCAGGAGACTGAGTTTGTCTGACCTCTCACCATTGACCAACCTGGTAGGAGTAGCTCTCAAGATGCTCGGAGGCATCACCCAGTATAGGTCAATGGGTCAATGAGGTACGCAAACCGTCGCACCACGTTAAGGTCCAGTCTCGTTGCGACGTGATCCCTCTGTAGGCGCGGGCGTCCTGTGGCTGGCCACAGTGACAGGCGAATCCGAAACCGGATGCCGCTATCCATATATATATATATATATATATATATATATATATATATATATATATATATATATATATATATATATATATATATATATATATATATATTTGGTAGACGGCATCAAATTCCGGATTTGCCTGTCACTGTGGCCTCTTTAGGACAGCCCCATGACGCCTGTGCTTACAGATTAACCATGGGTGGCTTGCGTTGCCCCATCCACAGTTACATCCACGCACACCATATCCGGTGTAAACCCGAAAGAATAAGGCCGAGAGGCATGTGGATGCGAGCCACGTTTCATCAACGGAGCCTGCCCACACTCTTTCACAGATACCCAGAAGCACACTGTTTATTTGCAAAAGTAGGGGGATTTATTAGGTTTTTGTGAAGATTTATCCCTGTTAGACTCGGGCAAACAGCCGAATCCGGCTGGATGGAACCGCACTTCGATCCTAGCACGGCCACGAGGACCGTGCACCCCGTCCCCTCCAGCAACGGCCAACTGTCTCCTAGAGCCAGTATGGACAAGGTTATGGGTAATAGACAGGTAGGCACCTTGTGCACAGGCACATCAAGCGCAGCCACATCGAGGACGGTAAGCAACAGCTAACCACTTGGAATGGCAATATCAAATAAATACGGTTTAATATACCATACGGTTATGCCGACACAACTCTTCTCTGAATTGATGTATGAAATAAGTGGGTTATCACAAATACGCGATAAACGCAAGATATCACAAAGGAGATCAAGAAAGCATATTCAAACAGGGAGACAAAGTAAGCAAAGTTCCTTGGCTTTCGTTTAAGTGACACGTATAAGTTAATAGAAGATTAATCAGGTAGACACTATAAGGAGGTAACGAAATAAGCAGTAAGAAAATATAGCAAACCAATCAACTGAAATAAAGAAACTCAACTCCCAATCATGCGGTTAGTAAATCGAAAGGAAGCGCATGCATCCTACTTACAAAGGCTGCGCCGGTTCTGGTTTACGCTGTCAGCAGGACCCGTCGTCGTTTCAATACTAGTACCGAGGAGCCTCGCTCGTGGCTCACTAGACCTGCCTGACTCAGGCACTCGTGACCGCATGTGCTACAGCACCATGAGCTCGGTGTCGATGAAGTACAATCTATCGGCGCCTGCCGCTTCCGCACTTGCCGCTTCTTCTCCGCATGCATGAGGTCTTTCTCATGCACCTCGTCAATTACCTTCCTGATCAGATCGCGCCATGCACGCCGATCAATCGCATTCGATTGCAAGCACCTGTAATCAACATTAGAACGTGATAGGTTTACTTTGCTCATGTTCTGGTAACGTAACTTTGGTTTCCCCACATACCGTTTCCCCACACTTCCCTGGCCATATAGCAACTGCTTCGATATCCGCTTCAAATACGCACGCCCCACATGACCGAACCATCTCAAGTGTCGGAAGGAAACCGTGTCTGCAACTCTGTCGCACCAACCGAAGCGCAGAATTAGTCGTAGACAATGTTGATGAAGCCGCTTGAGATATCTCCCATCGCACTGGTACGTCGTCCACGTTGCGATGCAGTAAAACAGAACGGATGGCAACATGGACTTGTAAACCATCAGCATCATGCCGACAGTAAGCTGGTGGTTGTTTCACACTCGGTGCTCAAACTTCCCGAATGTTGCCGCAGCCTTAGCGACGCGGATAATAGTATCACTATATATTTGCTGGTCAGTCAAAACCACGCTCCCAAGGTAGCATAAGCGGGAAGTAGTTTCAATTACTTCAGCACCAATGCTGGTTTGCGGCACCATTGTAGATTGAATTTCCGGTGAACCTTGAAAGAGGCAGACAGTTTTGCATGTGTCGGTGGTGAGCCCGAATTGGGCCGCTGTCGAAGCCAGAACACTAGTCAGGTGCTGCAACACATCCGCGCTGTGTGCAAACAACGCACAATCGTCATCGAACAGCAGAATACGGGTAGTTGTCTTGCAGATTATGGTTCTCGCACCGAAATGACGGATGTTCAGCAACTCACTATCAATACGGTGCTCCACACGAACACCGTAAGCACAAGCCCCATCAAAAGCACAAGACCTCATTGCATGATAAATATTAAAAATGGCAGGAGCCAGGACACAGTCTTGCTTCACACTATTGACAACTGTAAAGTCATCCGAGGTCTCTCCACTCAGCTGCAGCCTCGCTCGCATACCACTGTGCAGACATTCAATTAGACTTACAAACTTCCGCGGGCAACCAAACTTCCACAGTACCAACCACAACGGAATCCACATTACTCTTCCGCCACGTTCGGTTCCACAACCTGACTGACGGAATGGTTAAGATTCGGTCAATAATCCTGTCCACAAAACTCAGCAAGTTGATCCCACGATACTTCGTGGCGCATTGCCTGCTTACTTTGTCCTTGTACAGGAGCCGCAAAATGGTATTCTAAAGCTCAAGATGCACCTCCTCAATACAAACACGTTGCACTAAATAATGCAGCACATTCAGCATTGTGAGTCCGCATGTTTCACTACTTCTGGCGGGATCACTTCGGCCCCGGCACACATGCCGCTTCGCAGCTGAGCAAGTATTCTGTGCGTCTCGTCCAGTGTCGGTGTGTTGCAGCCCCTGCAAAGTACCCCAGTCGATCTCTGAAAGGTTGTTCAAGGGACAGTCAAAATGATTACGCCATGGTTGCATTATATCTGCAGTTTATGTGCTGGCAACGCTTGAAATACCATCGATCAGCGTCCTCATGGCTCCATCCTCTGTTCATACACCGCCTACATGGAGTCAAATAATTCCTTGTGTTGCCGGCGTTCGGCGTAGCATTCCATCTGACACAGGTCGTGCACTGTGGCTATGCATCCTACGTCACACAGGCGTTCAGCCATCGCCTTCTGCAGGCCAATACGTTTCACTGCAGTATCTGTGGAAATTTTTTATTTCCGCCGGTTCACGTCAGGAGTGCAATACATAGGTTTACGAACATTTATGTACAATATTTTCTTCACTAATTTGTGCCCAGTGCCACACACAGATTCACTCAGTGCAAGTGTCATGCGCCCCTCACGCATGTCACGCTGACTTACGAGGACATAATCGAGCAGATGAGTGTGACCACTCCCTGGGTGCGTCCAAGTTGCTACATCACTCGCACTCAGTACAAATCGCGTGTTCGTGATCGTCAGGCCGTGAGTGGCACACAGTGAGAGAAACCTGTCGCCGTGCTCAATCGCTGAGCTAGTGTCATGTGAACCGATGACATCTGTCCACAACAATGCATCACGCCCCACGTGCGGGTTGAAATCGCTCATCAGATATAGTTATCTTCTTTGCACGGACCGTATTACGGAGAATAACTGAGTGTAGAATTGATCACGCGTGTCATCAAGATATCACATGGTCGGGCCGTAGGTGCTTATAAAAGTGGCAAACTTCCGAGTTATCGGATTTTTGGATCAACGTGTACTGGATACTATTTTTGCTTCAGATTACTGTGTTAGCAGCATTTTATCTGTGTGAATTGTGCACCAGTATTCTTGTTTCGGCGTAGTTTCCA